AAATACAACGCAAACAAGCCATCTTTCGTGATAAATTTAACTTATTTAAAAGTAAAGAATAAAAAATATACGTACATGTTATTCTCATCTACATACAAATAATGAAAGCAGTGCTACAATCTTCGTTATATTGATTAAAGACAATTAGGAATTCAAACCAATCTTCTGTTAAAGCAGTATAAGCTGTATTTTTGAGATTTTTATTTAATTTAAATTTCAAAAGAAAGACTTGCTTACTAAAATGTCCAGTATTATATAAGAAAATAATATTGTACAGGGCGACAAAAATTTTATTTTGCATCATTATGGGCTTGTAAATAGTACTTCTTTTACAACTATGAACAGCACAGACGATTATGCATGTTTTTTTCTCTCTCCTTAAAATAGTTAGACAATTTTGCAACAGAAAATATTGACATCAAAGATGCAGCTCATATTGCTTACAAAATAAGGCTGAGTGTGGGACGATTGGATAAGGAGCACTTAGAAAGGTAAGGTCTTTTTTTTATCAATTCTGCACTGTACTTTGAACATTTCCATACATTTTTATTGATTTATTGATTAGAACATTTATGTCTTTGGTGATTTAAACTGAAGGCCATTTCATACAGATTGCATAATTGCATTCGTTTTGCAATGTATTTGATGTAATTTTAATTTTGTGTTCACTATATTCAACCGATCAGACGGGAAATATACAGAACCGCATAAAAATATACAGTGTATGCACTTCCGATGCCTAGTTCACTGTTCAAAGTGACAATGCATTGTTACATCTATCTCAATGTAAGATTTTAAATCTTTTTAAAAATAAACTTGGTACAGATTGACCCTTGGCAAAACCTATTCATGTGCTGGTTTGTGAAAATTGTTTTGTTCCAATTTTATTTTTGAACTTACTTCTAAGTTCCATCATTCAACTTCATGTACTTAAAAGATTCTTTATTTCAAAAGTAATTTTGAGCAATTTTCATCAATACAAAACTTCATCTTATACATGCATATCTCAATTGTTGTATCTTAGTCCTAAGCTAGAATAGTTCACATCAAGTGTGGAGACGGTAAATGGTAAACACTTATGTCATTTGATTTTTAAATTAAACGATGAATTGTTACTCTATTTAAAGTAAAACAAACGCCTTGGGGACAAATAAATATAAAGATAATAATCTCATGACTTTTCAAAGAAAATTTCTGCTATAAAAAGCGATAATTAAAAATAGGTATTCATTCTGGTACATAAATGATGTTTTAGAAAGTGCAATGGCATAAGTAGTGGATTAACAAAAAAGACACTAGATATCTTCATTCAAAAAAGATCAGTGATAAAGGTTCCTATTACCGTTGTTATAAGGATTTTGATGATATGTGAAACTGAGATGCATATACCAAAAAAGGTAAAATATTTTTTCTTATGTTTCTTTTTTCTTTGAGAAACTAATAGTGATAAAAAAAGAAACACCCATCAAGATACAGCGCTATAATTTAAACTCTGTACATCATTCTCCAATAATAGTCATGACTTTAGTAAGTCATTTCTTCATATAGATTTATATATGACGAATAAGGAAGACTTAATATATATGTCATTAAATATACATGTACCCTGTGTATTGAGAGGTCTCATTGTACGTATGTTAAAGTTTCAAATTCAAGGTAAATAAACTATATGTACACTACGCATAAAACATTTCTCTTTTTAATTTAACATAAATAACAGACATCAACTCCGAAAATAAAAACTATTTCTTTTAATCTTTTTATACACAAATATTCATATGGAATAAATGCCACTTTTTATGTTACAAGAAATGCTATCCATTTCGTAAAACACTAGCTACATTTGGTTTATTTAATAAATTAGTTAATATTGACCTCTAGAAGAATTTAAGCAGAATGATTTTACGTATATACTTTCATCACAGAGTAGAAAATCAGAAATTTGCTCACATTAGCACACTGCATGTACAAGTACTCATAAGTACAGTTATGATTTTGCAAAACATACAGTATGCTTACACTTGAGTCCGATGTCTGACAATATATACAGAAATAACTTATCTACACAATAGTACATCATATAATTATGAGTGATAACAAAAAGGTCTATTTTTGTACTTTACTTTACTTTAAACATATTTTATTGAGTAATTCAATCAGGATTGGGCAACAGGCAATGCCTATGTACACCCTCTCCTTAAATTTTTGTATCCAAATATCAAATTAAAAAATGTTCAGTGGGCTTTCCATGTTTGAGAGAATATTAAAAAGGCTTTGGAAAACAATATCAAAAGAGGTTTTATTGATTATTTAAAACACTAAACAGTAGACTGGTTAGTCATTTAAAAATGCCCAAGGTTGAACAATTTAAAACAAAATATTTTAAAAATAATTTAACTTCCTCCACACATAGAATGCTTTAATTTAAACATATTTTTCTTTTAGTGGTATTTAAAGATATACTTAAGGAATGTATTTCTGGCATACATTAGTGTCAGTTTATACAAGTTTTCAATATTTTAACATTTAAACAATACTGTTTCCATAATAAACTGCCATTGAATAGTCGCAACATATCTAGCCTTTTCACATTAAAGGAAATGTAAAAACAATGTTCAGTACACATATCTCTTATCTATATATGGATTTTCGTTTTTTGGGTCATTCATAACAATACAATCTATATAAACGGCTGTTCGTTGACACAGAACTTGGACCTTGAACTCAATTGTAATACACCCGCAAAGTTAAACGTAGAAATAGTATCTTTTGTCTTTCCGTTGTGCTTTTTATTTTTTCTACGTGTATAGTTATTGTTTAAAATCATTGCTGTATTTTATTCAATATCATTGTTCAGTCTTATGTGTTGCCCTACAATGATTTCAAATTAACTCAAAATATAATATATACGCAATTGCTGATCGAGGTAGATTACATTAAGGATATTTGTCTTGTACCTCTTATCAAAATATTGAATGTCACTAATTCAGTATATTTCAAGATTCCTTTAAATGCTTTTTGTTGGTGAATAAAATGTCAAAAAAATTTGCATGTCATTGGTTAACTCAAGTATACAGTTTTAAGTTTGTGTGATATTTATAGGAAATTAATATTTATACTACATGTAAAGTACAAATAATTTGTAAAAGACAGGGTTAGTTCAACCTATCGAATTAAGAGAAATAAAACATTAATATGACAGTCCTTTAATAATACTGTACATAGTAACGACCTCATATACTTGTATAAGCTATCTAGTTTTGCAATGATATCTTATAATTGCGTGGATATAAAGGAAAAGCTGCGTAATTGGCCAATTCTTGATTCTCCATTTGTACAATAAAATAAGAATGCTTATATAAATGGACAACAGTATTTTTACTGTTTAATTTAAAGTTTCATTTACGTGTGTTTTATTCAATATTCTATTGGTTTTGGCATCATATGAGGCCTAACATTGCCTTGTCCTTTAAGATCAACGTAAACATTGCATTGAATTAGATAAAATAACAGGAAAATATTTTTTAAAAAAGTTTTAAGTACCTAAATTTACTGATAGCATGGTTATATTTATTTCCATGTCATGCAATTTCTGTTGCTTGTCCAAAATTTTAGATTCTTAAACATACTTGTCAATAAGTATAAATTTGCACATGTTCCAAAATTTTCAAATTGGTTTAGGCACGACCAGATAAGATTTTTAAAACAGATTCTTGGTCCTTGAAAGCAAATTGAGTTTGAATCAACATATTGGAAGTTTAAAAAAATCATCGATATACTTACATGTATTTAAATTTTTTAATTTAACTTTTTCTGTACATAGACATTCTTGAAAAAATTATTAAGCATCGGCTAAAAACAAAAGCAATATTTTGGTTACAAAGTCGGGATCCATTCCCCCAGTTCGCACATCATTTATGGTCAGACGACACATAGCTCAATAAATACATTTTTCCCCAATAATCTCTCATTGAAGAATAGGTTCTTGAACAGATTTGCTCACAAAGAATTCAAGTACATTAGTAACCTTACCAGGCACCAAAGGGTGATGTTTCTTTTGAATAATGTTCTGAATGAACAAAATATTACAAATTTATGATGTAATTTTTTTAAAAAATATGCTGAAGACAATGTAGAAATTTTAAGAGAATGACAATTATGAATGTTTTAATATAATTCCCAGAGATACTTAACATATATTTGAGGAAAGTGTTGTATGACCTTATATTGTTTCATTGGATTTATAATTAAATTGGTCTATATATTTTCAGTAAAATAATCCTGACATGTGAAGTCTGTTTCATTAATTAATTGAATATGGGAAATCCACAAATATTCAATATACAGCTAATTATTGAAATCTCGATAGATATGTATTTTCCCTTTCTTTAACTACTACCAATTTTGAGATACAACAGATTCATTTGGATATTCAGGTAATTTACATTCCTTGAAATAAGAAAAAGAAAAAAAATATTGACACTATAGGTAAGTAGAAGTTTGCATCTAATAGTGGACAATATTAAGTGTATCGTTTGTTTTTAAAAGAAATATGCAGAATCTAAGAATCAAAATTTTTTCTAAAGAATCAGTTTATAATAACAATGGATGAAAAGCTCACCCTTGTGGTACACCTAGTCACAGTGTTAATAATTTCTCAACTAAGGTTGAAGACCATACCCTTGAAAAAGTTTGATCTAGATTTTATTATATCGCAAAAGATGTTTTTATACTTAAGTGAAGGATTATTGTATAGTTTAAATTTCAATTAGTTGATTCAGTTTAATAACCAGACTGGAAGCCTCGATGATACATACATTATTATCAGGATTAATCATATTTATGCTTGTTTCTTTGAAAATAGTTTAGTGATGACTTCGTTCTTTAGTGTATTGGAAAAAAATCTTTTCTATATCATTTATACATATTCATTTCTAATTGGAAAGACGCTTCAATATTTACAGAAAATTAACTTTAATATCTGGAAAGATTAAAAAAGAGATGCTTCTTCTTTTATTACGAAAATAATGACACATTGAACTATGTTGCTGCCATCATTCTTACAAATGGAGTGAAGCTGGAATAGTGTGTATGTTATATCATACAATGTATATTTAATGCAAAACAATAAACACTTTTAGTGCTGGGAATAAAAGACACACACACCTTAGGTATCACCCTCAACAAACACAATAAAAAAATTATAACATAACAAGCCTTTCACGGCTACACATTTATAGAACATTATAAAAGAGAGATGTACAGTGTTTTTTAATATGTTCAAACAATTACTGTTATATGGATTACTCAAATGATTTGGCACATTTATTAAACATTTTCAGATAGAGTCTCTTCTTCACTAAATCATATGGAGACCAAAATAGTTACTATAACAAGACTCCGTCAATCTCTCAGGGTACGTAACCCGTACCATCACTTCCGTCCCTTGTTCTAAATAAAAAACGGCTCCGATATAACTCGTACTATTGCTAGCCTTTAGGTCAGACTGAAGCTCACATTTAGACTGCGAACTTTCCAGGAATTTTTCAGGGGGGTGGTTTTTCATGTTGGCCCTCTGGTGATAGATAAAGTGAGATAGAGACATATACATCGCCCTAGCATCACCTTCATCCATCGTGGTATTCATAAGGAAGGTTACTTGGCTGTAAATGTAGTAAAATCCTTTCTTGGAAACATTAAACCTCCCTGTGTATGGGTCGTATGTTATTCCATTGTTGATAAAAGAATGAGGATCATCGAAATCCCACAATATATTCTCTTTTTCTAGAAAGATAAAATAATAGTAATGTCTTTCTGAAAACTAATGCATTTTATGGTATCTTATTCATTTTCAATTATTAATACAAAATTTAATCTGAAATTGTTCTGTTTGATTTTTATAATTTATAGTTTTATAGCTAGCGTAAAAATATTTTATGACTTGAAGCTAGTGCATACTTGCTAATGTTTCTTTGCGCTTTATGTTGACAACTCTTGCTGCAAAATTTTTCTTTTCATCTTCATACCGGGAACTTTGTGCACAGTTTATCTCGAACTGCGGGCCTGTGAAAAAGATAACGGTTTTAAAATTAGTTATATCATTGATATCAGTTAAAATACAGTTATCATACGGAAAGGTATTTAATATATCCAAACTATTTACAATATATTGCATGAACTCATCATATTGTAATTATCAGATAATTAATGATTTTTGGGAAAATGTTGTAATTGTTGTGAATCATCAAAACTAAAACTATTGAATAATAAGCTATTCAGCGATTTTAAAATATGCTGCTTTGCTTTTTTTTTTTTTATTTTTATAGAACCTTGATGAATTTATATACTTACTTCTTGCTCTATCTTCCCTATATTTTCTTGTTACAAACTGAAAATAGTGGAAAAAAGACAACAACTGAAAATTGACTGAAGGACAGTAAATTTTGATATGCTTTTCATTAAATTTAGGATACTAGTAGTAGTATTTTTACTATTGATTTCTGGCACTTACCAAGTCTACTAAACCTCGGAGTGTTTCTTGTGAGTTTGCACAACAGACCCTCTGTCCTTTAGTATCGACAGTTTCCGAGAAATTCACCAAATTATAGGCATCATCGTCCTTATGTAGAGAAAGATCGCCACACGGAAGGCAGAGAGCCTCAGGACTCGGCACGAGTTGTCTTTCATTACGATCGTTTTGCCACACAATAACAACAGTCAAAGCGATTATTAACAATAAAAGGTTTAGAATCATCAGCACTACCGCCAAATTCCGCCATCGCTGATTTTGTTCCGCGGCAGTTTTTTCGTGGTGAACCTCCGTTTTCCCTCCGTCTTCTGATTTAAGAAATTTGGCGTTCTCTTGGTTGGAGTCCATTTTGATCGTTATGTGCGGCTCCTCGATGAATAATGTAAACACAATGCTATCAATCGAAGCGGAAAGTAGGTTAAAATGCTGGCTAGATATATTTAGAATAGTACGCACAGGAATTCCCGTCGTTTTGCGAAATTTATATACGAGGAATTTCTAATTTTGCTTTCATCTTAATTTTTTTTAATCTGTCTATGGTTGAAGTAAAATAGTGTATTTTAAAAATCTTTTGAAAAAAAGGAATCTGTAAATTTATGAAAAAAATATACAAATTCTAGGCTAATTCATATATGGGAAATATATGAACCGAAGGATTATTTTTCTGAATATAGATTAAGATGAATTTATACGGTATATATGATATTAAATTAATAATAGTAACATATTATATTATGCAAATGTATTGATAGTGTATTGCTTTATTAAGTTATAAACAAATTCGGCAACAATTAACTTTTCATGGAGGCTATAATGCGGGAAAAAAAACAGGCAGGCAAAAATATATTCCCCCGAATCTTCGATGCGATTGCATGATGAAAAGAGATATATAGGACTTAGTATTGGTCAATGGAATTCGGAAATCACCTACGAATCAATGCATGTTTATGTACAGGTGCTTTGTGAGAACTGAACATGCAATGGTATCTATATAGCCGTGACTAACCAACCTCAACTATGGTTGGTTAGGGTCAAAACAATCCCAAAAGTGATTCAATGAATATAAAGGTCGATAAAGTACAAAAGTTTGTATATTTCTCATTAATTTTAATATCTTTAAATATATGATTTTAAGATAATTATTATCATAACAGTACATGAACTAGCCGATCCACGGCGAAATACACTGAGATATAACGTACCACAGTGACACTAAAATAATTTCTCGATTTTGATTTATTAGTTTAGAAAAGTTGGATTTTGGTCAGTTTTAGCATTATCTTTTTGCCTCACATATTACTTACTTGTATGTATAGTTTTATAAATAGCTTTTAAAAATATAGCGCTAGGGCTTTCATACTTCACATAAGTGATTCTTGTGAAAAGACGCTTTATTGGATGCCAAGAACCTTGACCCTTTGACCTTGGAGTTATTCCTACTTTAAAATACAACCTTGAACATAATTTTTGAAGGGTTAGAACTGGAGGGACTTGACTTACTTGTTATGATTTAATCCTTGTTATAACCTTGTTTTTGATATTTGTTTTGAGATTCCCTTTTACCTTGACCTTAGGTAAGTTATTGACCCACATTTACACAAAAATTCCAAACTTTTACTTTGGCTCTAATTTTTAAACGGTAGATTCTAGGAATTTCATATTTCAAATATCAGTTCTTTTTGGCAAAACCTTTCATTTAAAACCGACAAACTTGACCTTTTGACCTTGACCTTGGAGATTTCGAATTTTACGAAAAAACTTAAAATTAACCATAACTTTTGAACTGTAAGGGCTAGGGCTTTAATTTCATACTTCAGATATGTAATCCTTGTGAGTAGACCTTTCATTGGATATCAACGACTTTGACCCTTTGACATTGACATATAAGAATTACGTAATAACTTTTTACAAACTTTAATCTTGAGTTATAACTTTTGAACAGTAGGGAATATTTACTTTCATGTTTCACTAATGTAATCCTTGTGGTTAAACCTACAATTTGTTAATCAAAAACACAGTTTAGGACCCTAAATATGATCATTTCTATCATAAAAGTAAGGACAGGTTTCCAATAACTTTTTACAAACTTTAACCTTGATCAGGAAACATTCACAACAAATAAGTCAAAACAAAAAAGTTATAACAAATAAGTCATAACAAGTAAGTCAATGTCCCTCCAGGGCTTCCGTAGAATTCTGTCTATGTACATGGCAAAAAATAGCAAAAATTTTTTTTCAGCAATTTTTTTTTTTATATTTTGTAAAAGTTAACCGATCATAACCCTTACTGCTATATATATGGTGCTAACTTGTTTTAAATTTGTAATTGTATTTCTAATCTCAAAAGGCCTTACTTTAGGCACTACATATTTAAGACTTGCATTTAATAGGCACGTGCGCTATGTTGCCAAGTTTTATATTCTTCACATTGTCAATTTTATATTTACCCTGTTTGCATCTTTCTTTTCTCATTGAAAATAAATTGTTGATTTCAAAGTAACAAACAATCCGCGTTTTGTAATTTATAACCATAACTTTAATCGCCCATTTGACCTGCCCATGTTTCTTTTCCTATAAAATGTTCATACACTTATTTGATAATGTTCAATACTGAACGTCTACAACAATGTAGCATGATTTTAGCAAAATGAAAAAAAAAAATAATAAAACACATTGCTGGAAACCATTAAATGGTTTCGACCCTTTGATGTGAGGACAACTTGAAAAAGTAAAAAAAATCATGTTTTGTTTTGGGAGGGATTGTTGTTTGGAATAAAAAACAAGATTATTATATGCTAAACATATTTATACACTTGTACTTTGGCCATATTTCAAAAATTTTAAAATTGTATAACATTTTTTTTGAACACTGTAAAAAAGACATTTCATCACGATACTTCAAATTTTATTGTATGTACATTTTTTGAAATACTAGAAAAAGAGACACATCATTACGATAAAAAGGAAGTCATTTGATAATTTATAATATCCTTATCTCTGATAATTTTTGATACATCACATGGGATATATATATGATCACCCCAAGTACATTATACGTGTAAAATTAATGTAATAAATCAATAATAACCTACATTATAACCCTATTTCTCTCTCTTCCTCTCTTTATCACTATTTAGTGACCTTTATTAAAACGAATTTAGACTTTAATTCCGAAGTAGGTCACCTAACTCAAGGCCACAATAAAACCATGATCACTAAAGAAAGGTAGAAGAGAAACATATTCAGTAAAAATATTTTTATCTTGAATCTGTTCCCATATAAATTAAATTTATAGCATATGGTTACAAAGGCAGTGAAATTTTTTTTTGATTAAAATGAATTTAGACATAAGATCCGAAACTGGTCATGAAAATTTTTCACTACAAGGTGTTCTGAAAACAAACAACTATTTTGAGATTAAATTTTAGGGAGTTTTGAAAATAAAACTGCACCAATATATCTAATTAAAATCATTATTGGGAGAGTGGGCATTAGGTTAAAAATATGTAACTGAGTAAAATTAAATTTATAGCCCCTGGTTACACAGGCAGTGAAGAAGAATTTGACATTTTAAAGCAAAATATAATAAGGTCAACATGCATACAGCACTTGTTAAAAGTTTTCCCCACTGAAAATTCCAGGATAAAATACTAATACTCGCTTTAACATAGTGTCCAATTTATTCAAGTTCATTTTTGTCACTCACACCACCATCAGTTGTACATGAGGTATAGTATGTAAGCAATTCAAGTTCATGTTTGCACAATGGCTGTACGAACACTTAGCCCTTAATTCTTCTAAAATAGACCTACATTCAATATCATAGCGACTAGTGATTATTTACTAATCTTAAAGGACTTTGTATTTTAGCCCTTTTCATTTTATACTATTTACTGCTTATCCATCATTTCAATTATTGAACCTTTCCCCATCTCTTGCAAAATATCATTGTTAATGTCCATCACATATGACAAAGATCGCATTCTTCTTTTACAAATAGCTTTAGAGTCAATTTTAATTAACTTGGTATTAACGTAAAATACACGGATGAGGAAGTACCTAACAACATACGAGTCATAAATGTAATTCCCCCGTCTTTCATCATTTAAATGTCTCATCATCTTTCACACTGACCGAGTACTTCCCCGTCATTTAACTTGGACCCGGACGTCCTCCTACTAAAATTAGCGAAATAAATACAACATCCTGATTTAGTTCATTCTTCATTTAAAAAATAAACTTAACGATTTTAAAAACATTGAGCTGTTCTTTTTCGCTTCTTTTTATTAATGACATTCTTTTGTCAATGATTTACAAAATATTGATGGGAATGAATGTTCCCCTTACAAGTGAAAAAAATAAGTGTATATCACCCGCTTTAAAATCATGATTTTAGCAGATATGTTCACAATGCAAAAAATCATTAGCACCTTTGATCATGATAAACTTATGCATACATGTAAATACATAAGAATGAATTCACTAGGAAGTGATCAGTTCAAATGCCCTTTACTCAGTTCAAATGCTTAGCAGCCTATTACTTAGGCCCCAACTAGAAAAAGTCAAATAACTTGGAGCAACGCATTATGTGCCTATGATGCTGTGTCTTCTAAGGTCTTCTGAAGATTGGGGCTAGGCACGGCTAGGCACAGAGACAGGACTGCAAACCTAGTGATACTGTTTTTCCTGCTTGGATGGCAATATGGATCATAGCATGTGGAGCCCAAACATGTTCCTGGACGGATTTTTGATGTAGGTCAGGTTAGATACCTTAAGGTACACCTCGTCCCCAGCCTTAAGGTGGACATCAGCCCCCAGGAAGGACTGGTAGACCATAAACTGGTGGTTAGCGGACCTCTCGTAAGGACGGAGGGTCTCAATGAGGCCTTCCTCCTCTGGATTTAGGATGTTGTACTTGTAGAACCTCATGGTGATGAAGCTCGGCATATCGGGGGGCATTGCGACCTTGTCGTCATAGGTCTGGTGCAAGTCCAGGAAGCCGTAGAGGTGGTAGTAACCCGTGGTAGGAACCACAAGACGGCCATTGCGGTACTCCACTCCATTCTGCATCAGACAGTTGTTGCCATCTTTGTCCCATTCTCGGACTGGGTATAAATCGCGTCGGCCGCCATCTGTTATTAAAAAAAAAAATTTCCATGACCATCATACTTTTCTCTCGCTTACTTTATACTTAAACTTTTAAAGGATAAATTGTGAGCGACATTTTAATATACATGTATACGATTATTCATTTTTTTTTCACGTACCAGATCTAGTGCTTATTTTGGACCCAGTAATGTGTGCTGTTGGTTTGAGGTTCCAACTTACGTCCATGTAAGGTGTCAGGTTTGGCATTTGTGCGTCTGCACAGGAAAAAGATATGATTGAAGTGGTTTGCATTTTTATCATGCTGCTAGTATTTATTTATAATTATTGGCAGAAATTTAAGTTTTGCACTTTCTGTATACCTGTTTTTCTTTTCTTCTCCATTGTCAGCGTTTCATTAAACTTCTGCAATGTAAAAATAGAAGTCAAAGCATGATCTCTGTGTATGCACAGCTTATATAATTCAAATCCGTTGCGCTCTGTTTACTGCATTAAATCGACAATATATACTACACTACAGCTGATATTAAGATAAGTAGGTCGATACAGAATATTTGATTAAATGTATACCTTTGTTAGAAAGCTCTTCAGTGTTGGCACATGGCAACTGCAGCAAATATTGTTTTTGTCGTCTGCACATGGAAGGCACAGCTTTGCACACGTATCTTCCTTTCTGCCCGCCATATTCCATAACAAGGCTAGCACGACTACCAGCACAATGACATCCGTGAAAAAAATTAATATCGCCATTGTACGAATGTTAGCGAGACTCGATAACCTCGATCTCAACGCCATTTCTTGGATTTACGATGTAAATTCTTCAGGAAATGTTTAAACCCCGTTTTGGACGTACAGCGATCGACTCGTTAAAGCCGATCAATATACTAGCTTAGGTAATACTCAAGCAGAATAAACCGCCATTCGTGCAACAGATCCTCGGCTTACAATTCTTTCTCTTTATATAGGCTTAGGCAGACGGTATCTACCACGTGACTACTTTGTTATTACAACGATGATACGGATTGGTTGTAAACGTACACTACACAAAATTTATCTTCTATGTTTTAAAAATAAATACTTTTTTATCTTTCATATATATATATAAAACAGAAACAAAAAAGTGCGAGCCAGGTGCATAACTCTCCAAGATACATTCATTTGATAATATTCTATGAAAGATTGATAATTTTTATCAAAAGCAGGGGGCGGATCAAGTGAGGTGTTGGGAATTCCTGATCTTTCGATAGATATAAATTATAATAAAAGGGATGCCCCAATCTAATTAAAATCAGATCTTTGATTCGCTCTAAAACTCTAGATAGTGCTGTTTTATACTTTGTGTCAAGTATTTCTGTAAAATTATAGTTTCAAAACCGAAACTTGCTTTCTAAGTAACTACGCAAAATTAAAAGAAAAACAATTCAACGGTCTGGGACTATATTTTTATTTGATGTGATACATGTAATTATTGTACGTTGTCCAACATATTTAGTCTGAATTTCTCACAAAAATAAATGAGAAAGTGCTCTGGTTTGATTGATAATGAAGATCTCTAAACGTTGAAGGAGAAAGGGGTGGGGTGGGTGGGTAAAGGGGGTAATTTTGTGTAGAATAACTCCAGATGGGTATGAATGAACTGATCTAGAAAGGTATAATATAAATCGACGAAATTCTACTAGTACATATCTGTTTAAAAAAAACCCATCATATTCAGTATTTTTACATTTTTCCCCTGGATTCATAATATTGTCAGTTGTAAATTTTGAATTCACCAGGTGGTAGTAAATCCAAAACTGACAATGTTATAATATTGTATTTACTGCCCCCGCCGGTAAATTCAAAATTTACATGACAATATCGTGCAAAGCATGACTCCATTTCAGATGATTAAGCGAAAGATGGAGGAAAAGGAATTGCTAGTTTCATAAAATCAATATTTCACATTGGGTTGGCTTAACTTTGCATGCGCTTGAGACGAATTTTCATGTAAGATGCAAATAAAGATCATCAGCTTAAATACATAAGCAGAATGTTCTAAAGTTTAATTCATTTAATTGGAAGAAAAATCAAATTGAGAACATGACAATTCGTAAAACATGTCTGTAAATATATATTTGAAATCTGATTCAAAGACTTTAATAAGACTTCCGATTTATGGATAAACTACACAATCATAGCACAGGGAGATATTATTAATAATGTTATTAATATAGTAGGGATCAAAAATTTCCTACAGAAACAAGTGCATGCATGGAAAGGAAACTCATCAAGAAGTTCACAAGAAGTACATGTAATATATACAGTTTATTCATTTCTGTTCTAAACAAGAAAAGTCTAATTGCACTTGCTTTAATTCATATACATATGTATTGTTGATTAAACTTGTATCGTAGGATTTGACATACCTATCAAATTTACTGGTTTGAGTTTATAAAAATTTCATGCAATACTATAATTGTAGTAATTTTTGATTTACTAAAAATACGGTGATAGGCATGCCAAATTCACGAGCCTGCATCTAAAACCGTCTCAACCTATTTATATAAGACGTCGCGCACGGTGTTGGTGTCAAAAATTACTATTGCGGTGGCATTTGCGCTATTTTCATAATTTTAAAACAATTCACCATATGAAAACTATATATCATTCGGTCGGTAATTGTATACTTAATACATTTTAACAAAAGTATTGATCAAAAAATTCCATTTATCCAATGTATTAATTCGTTTATTCAGTCAATTACGTCAAAAAACGCATGTAGACCGGTAACAGGAGCGTCGCACATGCATTAACAAAATATTGATAACTTCCACAAAACAAACAATAAAAACATAAAATTTGGCAGAAAAATTCAAAATATGATGTAAATGATGTAAATTCTAGCAATTGTGATGTTATTCAATCCGTATGTTCTGTACGCGTTTCTCAAAATCCAAGACAGAGGTGTAGACGCGCGTAAATCGACCAAATATGGGATACACATAAAAAGTCTTCGGTTACTTAAAAAAATAATTTCATGAGCTGAATCAATTTTGAAATTGCATCTCATTGATCCTTTTTGTGTGCAAGGAAGTATATTTTAAATACGACTGATCGTTTGTGTGGATATGTACATTGGGTTTCTGCTATTAAGCCAATTTATTTTGAATATATGGAATAAGATGGTGTGTCACAAAGTTTGGAGGTTCAATGTCACAAAGTTTTTAAGATTCGTAAAATCCCCAATTTTGTAATGCTGGGTGAAAAATTAATGCTGAAATTTATTTTAAATTCTACAAAATGTTGCCATGTTATTAAGGAAAAGATCTCTAGACAGAATTTTAACTTGCGGCATCTTAAATTTTGATAATAACTGCCATGTCACATATATGTATAACATGTAGCTATATGTCACAATTGAATTTTACGGCAAAAACGTCACATTTAAATGCTACACTCCATGAATTACTTTATGTTAAGAATGAATTTTTCTAATTTGCTGCAAAACAACATTTATTACTAAATGTGCAAAATCAAAACTTTACTTAAATATGAAAATGAATTGATTCTATAAAGAAGTATTTGTTTTAGAGGGTTTTTACAAAGTCAACAATAAATGTCAGACATTGCCCAAAAGTTATAAATCTAACTATAATTGTATAAATGTTGTGACATAAATCGTATGAGTAGTCATTAAAAATCAGTGGCGGATTTAAGGGGGGGCGCACCCGGCGCGCGCCCCCCCTAAAATTGTCAAAGTTAGCGTAAATCAAATATGTCTACTTGGTAGAACTCATTTTTACCCTTCAAAATCTCTAGAATCCAGGAGCTTCCGGGGGCTTCGCCCCCTGGGCCCCCACCAGGGCTTTGGTAGACCTCATTTTAACCCTTCAAAATCTCTATAATCCAGGAGCTTCCGGGGGCTTCGCCCCCTGGGCCCCCACCAGGGCTTTGCCCTGGACCCACTGGGGGCCTCAAGGCGGCCCCCAGACCCCTTGCCTAATTTTGGCGCCCCCCCTAACTCCAAATCCTGGATCCGCGCCTGAAAATAGACATAATGAAAATTAGAGGATTTTTATGAAATGTGCATCTCTTCAAAAAGTTATTGGTATATTCCAAATTAATTTCAATGGAATGGTGACAAATTCTTACCAAAAAATAAAAGTCAAAATGTTATGTCACAGACGTAAAAATATGGCGTTTTGGCGTATGTTAACGTTCAATGCATAAAATGTAATATAAAACGTCAAAAGATTTTTTTCTCTCCTAAATTTTACTCTTATTGCTAATGAGCCTGATATGGATAAAAGAAAACTATACCAATAATGATTAATTTTTAGAATAATTTTAAGTTTTGAAAGTTGTATTTATATATAAAAGTAAAACATGTACACTGTATATTAGCACACTGTTTCAGTATATACATGTATCCTTGTCAAAAATCTGTACAAAAGTACCATTCAGAGTTCGAATTAAGACACCAGGAAAAAAATCAATCAAACCAAAGTTTATGTAAGAGTGTGATTTCAAATTTGAATTACCTGTCAGTAAAGTGTGTCAACTCTATATTTGATGCTGGCGTAAACTGTTCTATACATGGCGAGTTTACATTGAATAGACCAATATTGAATAAGGGTTAGGGGGTGTTGAAAGTTATGATGTAGATAAAGTATCAGGTTTTCACTTCATAATTTGAAAATTAGTTCTTTTTGTCATTAACCCGGTAGCATCGTATGAAATAAAACAAAGCTGTATTTGATCATGTTAAAAAAAAAAAAGTGTTTACATTCGAAATTGACGACATTTTGAAACAGGTTATGACGAGATCAAGTTTATTGTTTTATTTCTTTTAATAAAAATATTTTTCATTAATATATTTGGTCATAAGCTAGTGACGTAGTATCGTTGTTGAAAGTGCGGGGGGAGGGGTGCAGCCGGAGAAAAAAACTACTTACCGGAAAAAAGTTGTCAAGCCAAAAAAAAAGGAAAATTTGTTTGCCCAATCTCGAAAATCCTATTTCCTTTGGGGAAGGGGTGGGGTGGGGGGTTGAGGCGGCGAACTTCTTTCAACGCACAACGCAAACTTCTTTCAGTATCAAATTTTCTTTTCTTTATACAATTACTACATTACCCTTATATTACTTTACTTTTGCCCAAATTTGGGGGCCAACCAGCTTTTCAATGAACATTTCAATAGTAAAAGTTATGTTTTAAAAAAATGGGCGGGGGGGGGGGGGGCACGCCCCCTTGCTACGTGCCTGTAAACAATGTCCATCCTTTTTCATAATTTATTTAATAGTAATGTTTCATTTTTTCTTACCTTTTTCTAAATGCTTCTTAACTCATTTAAACCGACCAAAATGGTACTAAGTAACCATTAATTTAATCAAAATCTAGTTTATCTCCATATCCTTCATTTAGGGAAAGGATAATGCCTCTATACAATCTTCTTAATCTGATTAAAATCTGACCCCGCCGTCACCAAAATTCCTCAACATCAACATCAATTAATTATTTTAATCTGAATCTTGATGAAAGCATACACAAAACGCTCTTTGAATCACTCTTTACTTCCATTTACACTGTATAAGTATGAAAAAGGCATACAATCACAAAAGGCAGCTAGGTAAACTGCATTGATATCCAAAGGAGTATGAAACCTACGATCGTTGATCTGTGTGTTAGGCACATGCGATGCAACGCATAAAAAGGGGGGATGAAAAGGGGGAGAGGAGAAAACTGAAATATTTTTCGAAAAATACAACTGAAGCCTCTAAACTGCTCTTCATCGAAAATTCTTTTCATGGACAAGTTAAAGTGAGGGAAGGGTCAATTCTCAGATTCGATTCCTTTCCTTTTTTGAATTGAATAATTTGAAATATTTAGATCTACTGTTAGATAAAGGTACTCAGTATGTAAGGGTCTGAGTGATGGTGGAGGTTAAAGATGGGATGGGAATTGGGACTTTAAACGAAAAAAATTTTCATTGTTAAATCAGCAACGTATCTACAATCATACAATTTACTGAAAACAAAGGACAGGTTCTAGCGCCTACTGATATGATATGGAATTGTTTTGAATAAATTTATATCAATAAAATAAAACGCATGTAAATTTAAAATGCGATGTCGAACAAGTTTTATTATTCTTACCAAGCTTTTTTTTAAATGAAGCAAATTATGCCTTTATTTCCTAGATTCCGCAATATGCTTGCAAAAAGGGCAGAGAAATTAATTACATGCATGTATTTTCAATGAACTGCATTAAATAATTGGCGTCATTACTGGATTAATTTTTTACTTCTTAAAAAATGTAAGCAAAAAAGTAACGTCAAATTAATTTACTAGAACTTCACGTAAAATAACGTCATTTTGACGTTACCGAAAATGACACCAACACCGTGCGCAACGTCAAAAATATTTTTTAAAATTAACATGCCAAAAGTTTCCTGTTATTCATGCCTGTATTTTCAGTTTGCTATTTTAATACAACATTTGGTTTAAACGAACACCCGAAATTCCATTTGCGTTTTTTATTTCGTTAATTTAAACTCCCAAATTCTCATAATATTGTTATGCAAAGTGCACATATTTCCCGAATTTCTCAGTGCTATTGTAACGTACGTCTGAAATCGATCTCTTCTTTTGAATTCGTTTGACTCGTCTCTTCTTTAAGGTTCGCAAGAATTCATTTATATTAAATTCAGTTGTTTGGATAGTTGAATACTTTTTTTGTTCGCTGTGTTAATTCTATTCTTAAAACAGAAAATACATTTTAAATATTATTTTAGACTATAGGATCAGTAAATATGAATTGTTTTGTTCCATTCCTTGGGAATTTTCTCTTCAAAGATGGCATACAAATATGCACGTGGGAACCGCTTTATTAAAAATTTAACATTGTATATATATATATATATATATATATATATATATATATATATATATATATATATATATATATATATATACATACACAATTGGTGTTTTATCAATTAATCAAACCCCTGTGTCTTACCAAATATTAATCCTTTTGTTTATTCCTGTCTTTGTCAGTTCTAAATATAAAATTTTGAAAAACCACATTGATGTTGATATGCATATAAAATCTGCTATTATAGAAACTTGACAAGTGTAGTTAATAATGGATTTTAGCTGCAGAACTGTAGCTCTCCGAAAAAATTATATTGATAGACCGGACTATCAACATATATTTTTCGGAGAGCTACAGTTCTGCAGCTATAATGGTTTTAGCTGCAGATCTGTACCGTTATGGTTTTATATATTTTTCTTTGACCATAACGCTACAGATCCCGTAATGCAAAAAAGTGCAATTTACAGCGCAATATTTTTTGCGCACTTTTGGGGAAAATTTCTCCACTATCTAGCAATAACTACCTTTCACTCCCCAATTTTAGACATATTCTGTAGCCAATAAATATATTTTATCCACCTCCCAACCATTTATAGTTGCCTCTACAGGCAATAAACTCGCTTGAGGTGAATTTTCAGCAATCTAACGAATAATTTTAATCAAGCAAGTTTATCACTTGTAGAGACAACTATAAAGGGTTGGGAGGTGGATAAAAAATACAGATTAGTTATATAATGTGCCTAGAATTAGGGAGTGAAAGCTACTTGATTGACCAATGCTATAAAGTGGAGAAATTCTCCTCAAAAGTGCGCAAAAAATATTGCGCTGTAAATTGCACCTTTTTTGCATTACGGGATCTGTAGCGTTATGGTCAAAGACAAAATTAATATATAAAACCATAACGCTACAGATATGCAGATATAATGGTTTATAACAAAACTCTGTTATGGTTATAAAAGAAATACGGGATACATCGTTATCCTTTTGGGTCCCTTTTTAAAGTGCTTTTTTTTTTAAAGAGGAAGCTTAAAAGAGTAAGTTTATGAGTGACCTACCCCCCCCCCCCCCCAAAAAAAAAAAAAGAAAAGAAAAGAAAAGAAAAAAGAAAATAGTTGTAAAAATAAATATTTGCAGCAAGAAAAGGCGAAGAAAAATCTAATGTGATTTTGGAAAACAAACCAAAGAAGAAAAAAAAACCTACTGAAAAACCCCTTGACAACACACTGGTTTATGATGTACTCTATCAGGAGTAAGATGAGTATGAAAATTTTCTGCATTTGTACCAACTCTAAGTGCTTTATGTGTAAATGTCACATCTTTTAGTCACAAGAACTTGTGGACAAGACCCCCCCCCCCCCCCCTCCCAGATACTAGTATAAGGATATTTTTATTCATTTATTTTGATATATTAACCTTCCACTACACGTTCACAATTGTATTCCATATGGAAAATAAATTAAAAAAAAACTCCAGTAGATTTATGCATTTATTAAAGAATCCGAAGACATATTGAATTGATCATTTTTTACAAAAATACTTTCTGTAAATAGGCGTTACGAAGATGTCGATGGTATGCAACAACTTTAAAAGATATAAACAAAATTGATTGAATTCTCTTTTAAATTAAGTCCAATAGTATATACAATCCATGCATCTAATTTCTGTTTGAAGGACGTCTCCTTAAGGTAGATCGCGGGTTTACTGTCTGCCTGAAAACATACTCTGAAAATTTGTCAGCTGAATCCTCTCGTTTCGAATTTTACTTTCTGAAATTTTTGTGAGATTCGTCTGCGTGGTTTTATTGTTATCGTATTTCAAAGGCACTAATGTTGACGAGATCAGGTGACGCTATTACAATGAAATATATAGTAAATGCGTCTTTCTCGCCGGCAAATGTATTTCAAATCCTTGCCCATAATATGAAAACGGCGCAGACGAATTTTATATCACTCAACACAATGAATGTGAGATAAATTTAGAATCGATCTATTAAAAAAAATTAATATGTGTTCTCGCTCATTTTCTCGCAAAAAAACTTTAAAGTTTTACAAATTTGTAACAAACGTATATAATTTCATTAAGACGTTATATAACGTTAATGCGACGTCATTATTTTCAGACGTCTCAGAATCACAATGTAATCAACAATTCAATGAAAATAAAACATGTTTTATCCGCATTTTCAATTTTTAATTGATTGATAATAAATGTTCATGTAAACATTGTCATACTTTACCAAAATTGTCACACTTTTTTCAATGAAACACAGTCATGTTATTTGTTTTCTTGATAAACTCAAGCAGTGCTGAAAAGTTAGAACAAATCTTCAAACATTTGAAAACAAAAACTTCTTATCGTATTTGAGAGCATTTGTAAAACTATTTTACAAATTTGTTATCTTAAGTAAAATGTGCCATGATTTTGAATCGAAAATGTTAAAAATTACAATAAATTAAAAGTAGATCAGTAAATTAATTTTTGCGTGCACACTATCTATAGTAAAGTTCTCACCATGAATAAAAAGTTATTCATAGTGTATGAATCTCAACTTGTATTGTTGAAGAAACGTACATGTGTATGAAGACAGTCATACCTCATAAAAGGAAATGATTTTGTCTATAACTGTATTTACAGACTTTAGTTTTCCCTTCAACACTTCGTAAAGTCCATCTCTTCCGCCTCTCTGAAGCGCCAGTTTCAAATGATTTGCCTGAAAACCATGAGCTGCCAAAGTAGAACTTTGCCCCTTTGTTAGGACGTTTGAGGTTATTATATCATGAAAACTTCCTATGTTTTTGTTCTTATTTGATAGCTTTTCGTTGTTCGCGATGACATAATCAGTAGAGAAGATTAACTCAGAGAGTGACTCCTCCGCTTTTGGAGTGTTTTTCAGCAAGATTTTCAACATAGAAACATCATTTTCAGCATTATGTGCATTCACAGAATCAAATTCTGGAGCTAACGATTTAGCCAAATCTTGAAGTTTATATGATGGTTGATTGGGGTGAACTTTCTTGAAAAATTTCACTGTGTCCGAGAAACCAACGACACGTTTTATCATATCAGTCAGACCATGTCTGGTGAAGCAGGACACTAAGATACGGGCATCAAATTGTGCATTATGTGCCACAATTAAAGGGGAGGGGAACCTGCTAAGTGCTAAGCCACTCAGCAAACTCGGCTATGGCCTGCCTTTCTCCACAAGACGGAACCGGGTTTAGCAGGTAATACATCTGCATTCCGTGCATTTCTATTCCAGTTAGTTTGACTATCGATGGTGGAATAAAACCGTTAGCGGGTTGTACAAATCTGTTAAAGCTGTCGTCTGAATAAAGTGGAGCTGCCGCAATCTGAATGATACTGCTACTGTTAGCTAAAATGAAGATAATTGTAAAATTAAATTCAGCTTGAGTAATTCAGCTTGATAAATGCATTTATAGCTTTTGTTTCAATGAATGATCAAGGCATTGATATTATGTACATTATACTTACAAAATCCAGTAGTCTCTAGATCAGCCACAATAATTGTGTCAGGTGAGGCTGGTGCGTCTACAGGTCTGCTGAGCTGCCGTGTACTGGGAAGTGGTATATCCATGACTAGTTCCTCCTGTCTGTCTGCGGGGACTGCATAGTCTATACCCGACTCATATGTTGTGCCTTCATGTAATTCCGCCGATGCCAATGACGACTGTCTTTCTTCCTTGAGACGCAGTCGATCCAGCTTTGCCTGCCGTGAGCTTTGTCGGGCCTGTTGTCTTGTCCTCTTTCTATACCACGCTCTTACTCCTGTCTGTTTTCCAGGTGACAGGCAACAAGCCTTGTTAACCTAAAATCAATGTATAAAAAATACATTTTAAATCATTACAAGAATAAGTATAAAAAAAATACAAGTTAGTATAAATTGTCATTTTTTTCATTACATATGACATTAGTACCTCTACAATAAATCCGTGTCCTTCATTCTTCTGAGAAATGGCTGCAGCGACCCTGAAGGAGAGGCTATCCGACCCAGAATAGTGCTGCGACTTTGGTGCCTTTTTAGCTATTATTTTGTTCATGTTCTCATTCGCATTGGATGAGCCGAGGTTGGATAGTTTTTCCGCATTTTCGGCGTGTTTAGTAAATAATTCTAACAAGGTTTCCTTTAGCTTATCTCCCTGTAAATTTCTGTCTGATGGAAAGCTCTTGTGTTGGTACGTGTCGGGACTTCTGATATATCCACACCAGACCCCATTACATCCGCTATGATCCCCAAAAGCATGTGGAACGGTGGCTAATAAATTCTGGCGAATTCCCTCCGCATTTCCTTTGTTTTGCTCAATGGCGTAGCTGAAGCATTTTTTGAAATAATTAATATTAGCTATAGAAAAGTTCCTGTGGCCATCTTTGACTTTATGGAGGGAGTTGCTAAAACTGCGCACAATATGACTTTTGTCGCTGCATTTTTCCAGCTTGTCTGATACAGCTTTTTTGGCTCTCACAAACGTGGTGGTGTCGTCATCCATGATCAGCGTTTTCACACCTAAACCCTTTTCCTTGAGAGACTTTAAGCATTGGACAGTAAGGAAGGGTTCCATGCCCTTAGCAGACCCGCTCCAATTTCTTCTGCAGTGATGTGTTGATTTCGAAATTTTTTTGCTTTTAGATGTCCGATTCCTGCATTTTCTGCAAGTCTTGCATGCAATGCCGTAAGAAAGGCACTTCTTGGTGTTCTTACCCATAACAGTCACATGTCCTATAATTATTAATGAACTATTAAGATGTGGAATAAAAATATACTCATAAGTGTATATAAATACTTTACACAGGAAAATTTCCGCCCCTTTTGTTCTACGCTTAGCTTGGTGAAGTTTAAATCATGTAAAATTAAACATTCCACTGATAAAATACAATTTTTAGAGTTTTTGTTTTCATCTTTATTTAAAAAAAAAAAGGGGGGGGTATATTATTCCGTGATGCCGGTTTCATCAAAATTTTAGAGTTATCTCTCTTTGTTTTCCCAAATAAATTACTAAGTATGTTTAATAAAAAAAATATCCATGTACTTGTAAATATCTATAAAAAATAGATATTAGGAATCGGTAATAAAATGGTTATAAGGAGAATGTATATACCTGACAAGCTATTATAATTACGACCAGTTCCCCTTTTTTGCCATCCGCCGTCACTTGAAACACCAATTTCAACATCCGAAGGATTGGAAGCATCGCCACTAAATTTTACAACAGACTTTTTATAACCTTTCTTTAAATGACATCCTCTTGAATATGTTTATTTATTAATTGAACATAGACGAAAATTTTGAATATAAATACAATCAAATAGTATATTGTCTGAATATACATGTATATCCTTATCATTTATTTAATTTTTTTTTACCTCTCTGAACACAAAATCTCGGCTCGTATGGCAGAATTACAAGATTCTTCTGCAATGTCCTCCATAATATGGCCGACCTCCCTTTCTCTTTCTTTTAGTGTTTTGTGATGGATCGTAGGGAGATTGAGTTCTGCCAATATATTATTGACCTGTTGTTCACCTATACCAACGTTAATCATAGCTGTAATTAAAAAAATCAACCTTAATTGTATTTTAATTTCCCAACCTCTTTATTCGTTTATGCAAATGAACTGCTCTGGGGCTGCACTGAAGCCTTCAGGGGTTCTAGGGCAAGGCGGGGTGGGGATCCAGGGGCTAACAAACTTTAAGAAATAAGAAATATTTTTACTTGATTTTAGGATAATAGACATATAAGTTTTATATACAAAAATTTAAACGGGGGGAGGGGGGCATACCCAACGCGCCGGCCCTGGTTCCGCCTTTGGCATACATGTACGCTTTAAAAACTAGTGTCCAATCTTATAAAGAACAGTAGGATCAGCTAAGAACAGTATGGCCTCTGACTAAATCAAGTACTTTAGTGGAGGATCCATAAATTTCATCTCAAAAGGGTGCAATTCGTGCCTCGAACTCAACCCCTTCCACATCTGCGCTATAAAATAAATCCTAAGGCGAATCCCTATTCGATGTCAGGAATAAAAGGGTTGGGGATAAAGATGATAATTTACTGAAGTGAACTTCATATTGTTTTCTTTGTGTGTGTGTGTGTGTGGGAAGGGGGGGGGTGTCGTCGATTGCTTCACATAGTTAAAAACAATCTCACTTCAAAACTATATTGGTGAACGTATCTCTTGTTGATAATTATACCCCCGCTCCGAAGGAGAGGGGGGTATACTGTTTTACCCTTATGTGTCCGTCTGTCCGTCTGTCTGTGTGTCCGTCCGTAACAAATTTTCGTCGCAGTTTTCTCAGCAACTACTCATTGTAGATGCTTGAAATTTTAACACAATCTTCTCTGAGGCATGCCATATGGTGGGATACATTTTTGCTAAAATCTGATGTCAACTTCATATTTTTTTGTGCATCTTCCTATAATTGAATTTGTGTATATTAACATGATAGTGCTTATTTACATCAGAGCGGGGATATTACTGGTGAGCATTGGTTCTTGGATCTGTTATTATATGATTAATCACATCATCAATAGTGCTGCACTTATCAAATTTCTTAATTCATGTATTATAAATATTAATTCTGACGTGCATTTCAACACGATAATAAATACATGTGGTATGTGTAATACTCATTTTGAAATGTATCTTTATGATAATTATGTATATAATCTTAAAGTAGCATGAAATGAAATATTGGGGACATGTGCCTGACACAGCAGCGCTGGATCTGTCTTCGTATTATATTAACATAATGACATCTTAGAGGGGTACACATAGAGATACATGTATCTATGTAAAATCAGCTTTGATCCAGCTTTGATCCAAATATCGCCAACACGCCATTCAGGGGAGGGGGCATTATGGTGTTTTCGTTATCATTTTGGGAATTTTTAAAATCTTTAAGTGAAATTAACTTCAATTAATTAACATACTAGTAGTACACAAACCTGCTGCTAGTTTGGTGTTGATGTCAAAACAACGGGCTGGTCCTTTGCCATTTGTATTGTGACGTTTTCCCGTGGGCACCGAATTTGTATTGCTGCATTTCAGACAATTTATGTACAGAATGGATGCAAGTCCGTATTTTTTTTCACCGGTACATGAAGAAAGATGTAGGGGTTCTTTGCAAAACACACACTCTTTCAAACCTTCCGCTAGTAATTTTAGTTCAACAACTCGCCTCCCTGCCTCCCATGAATTTACATCTGAGCAGGTTTTTGAAGATCCAGGGGCTTCTTCCGTATTTTCTTCTTTTTGAGAATTAGTTTTGAACACTAAGTTCTTCAAACTCGCTACCTTTTTCTCGGACGCAAACGTCCCTTTATATAATTTCATTGCGAATATTTCATTCTCTGACAGTTTAACGATTGTGACGTAATTTTCTTTTTAAAAATGACGTATTTTTAAATTCCGCCAAAATAAATTAAATGAAATTATATCTATACAAAGAATGATGAATAATTACGCTTTACTTTGAAAATAGAATCAATTTTAACCTTTCATTTTTTAACTTTATGAAAACTCTTAATTTTATTTAGTATTGATTAGTTATTGATTAATCCTTTATTTTTTATAACAAATAAATATTTTTACAGACAAAACAAACTTTAATGTTTGTTTTATTTTATGATACATACTGATAGAAATACTTTTTGCTTGTTTGCAGTTTGATACTGTAAACGTAGTAAGCTTTTTACGTCGAATCCCATTGTGACGTCAGCAAACCCGCGATCTACCTTAAATTCAGATAGCAGAAAATAAACATGACATATGAAGCAAATTAAAAGAGACGCTAAAAGCGCCTTTGTAAGCATCAAATGGCTAAATGATATATTTTGACTTTTGGAGTCAATAAATATTTAAATGAATGGGACTTTATACATGTACACGTATTTGTAGATCATTCATTTTCACTGATTTTGCGAAAGAAGTACAAATAGATTTTCTATAGGTTGTATTGTGGGCACGAAAGAGGAAGTGATTCAGTAACTTTAAGTCTCAAATCATAATGAATGTCTATGAAATATTTAAGGTCTTTAAACGTCGATAGTTCAAAAGTCTAAAATTGTATTGTATGAATCGTTCAAGGCTTAGTTTTTAAAGATCTCGCTCTACTTACAATGAAAAATGACTGTCAATACAGAATACATGAAAGATAGAAAGACAAACATTTTTTTCAGAAGAGGATATCGACATTAAAATATTCTTTTACGTTTAAATGCAGATGGTTAATTTCCTAATTGCAGTTCACTCCAAGCACTCTGTCAATACCACAAATTGAATATAAAAGAATGCAAAGAACGCAAAGAATGTTAAGAGAGCAATTAGAAAACATTATAATATTATCACAACATGTGGGATCAGATGCCACTGAGGAGTAAGCAGTATTTGTTGACCGTTCACACCAGGTGAAAGAAAACTTTTAAAAAAAATTAAAATAAGACAATTTTTACTGTTATTATAATCATTTTTCCTTTTTGCATAAATAACTTAAAATGTAAATTCTACCGAAATATTCGAATTGAGAGGAATAGCAACAACTCTGTCATCCCAGATTCAGATTGTACTTAGCTGAAAAATGAGAGGAAAAAATGAACGAGTTACCGATCTTTGTATTCCATATGATTTTATAACGAACTATAGTATGTCTACGCGATGTATCCCGGTGAACTTGATATGCATTTATAAAAAGATGCCACAGAGTCTTACACATCTGTTTCATATTTTGATATTTTACCAGAAAAAAAAATTAATGGTAATCTATTAATTAACAAAACTTCATGATACATGTGATGACCTGATTTTTATTTTGTCGTTAACTTCCCTAACTAAAGGTAGCCGTAATATACTCTTAACATCTGCATATGGGTTTTGTATGTATCCCAGTTGATTCTATACGCAAGAGCATGATGTATGTACAAACAATTTCTAAAACAAGACAAGCTATTTACAAAGGAATTGACGAAACGAGTCTCGCTTAAATCAATCTTATCGCAAGCTCCGTGCTCGAGCATGAAGATGACAGCGATAATTACAATTTAACAATCAATCGAAAGCTGACTTCCGTTTGTCATACAAATTATTAATCCATTATTTACACTATGAATTGTCTACGAATATTTTAGTTTGCCCAATCATGACAAGGAGCACACGGCAAACTCCAGTGAAGGAGGAAGCATCGACAAGGGATGTTTACTCCTCATTTGCACCTGATTTACAAATAAGAATATGAAATAGTACCCTCGAATCATGAGTTTTCGTGGCAATACGGTTAATTTGTAATAAATTTCTTCAAGACTGAAGAATTGAGTTGTTTGTTATTTATCACACATACAAACAATAATTCTCCTTATTTTAAAATGATGGTAACTCACATATCATTTATTATTTGTTCAGAAGGTAATAAAACGTACAATATCATCAAAAGTACATTCAATATCATCAAACTTATAATGCCTTCAAAAGTACAATATCATAAAAAGTTGACGATACGAACATAAATTACCTAAATTACAACTGATATGGCACGCCAAATTTAAAAAAAAAAATGAGCTAAAAATAGTTTCACAATTGATAAACTAGTTTATCGACTGTAAACTATAGTTTACAAACCGTGAACTATAGTTAACAATTTTGTTAACTATAGTTTTCATCTGTAAAACTATATTTAACGGTTGTTAACTATAGTTTAAGAAAGCTAATCTAGGTCAATCTGTCTGTAATAAAACGTTAACAATAGATTTTGTTGATAAACATAGATTCATGTCTGTGAACTCTAATTTACAATAGTGAACTATATATTTCAGAGTTGTTAATCATAGTTTCACAAATCGTGAAACAATATTTATCAGAACGTTAACTAATAACTATAGTTAAGAGTTGTAAACCATAGTTTACAAATCGTGAAACTGTATTTATCGGATAATCTATGTTTTGCAATCGCAAATGATTTTTTCAGTGTTAAGTATAGTTTACGGTTCTGAAACATAGATTATCGCGTTAACTATGGGTTACAGATGTAAAATATAGATTAATGTTGTTTACTATAGTTTACAGTCCGTAAACTATAGTTTACAAACGATAAACCTAGTTTATCGACTGTGAAACTATATTTAGCTATTTTTTGTGAATTTGGTGTGCCATAAACTGACTAAAGTTTAGATGTCTATTCAATAATTATTTACAATCATAAACTATATTTTAAGACATTGATATTATTCAAAGTCTCAGACAATAGTATTTGAAAAATTGATGAAATTTTAGATTTGTCATTGCATAGCTTATCGACAAAGTATATACTTCTAATTTTTAAAAATATCCAAAAAAGTGAAATCTAATCATGCTGTAACTAGAATTTACGAATCATTTTAAACTTAAGCTTTTTAAATAAAGTTATTTTGTTTCGTGTAATCAATGGTTTATTGTTTTCTCTACTGTCTGAACAAAATTCAAAAGAACTTTATAACACATACAAATTGGTGATTAAAAATTTCAAATAAATATAGACTTATATATGTACAGTATATATTAAAGATATAAAGACATAGATAAAACATTTTTCTATAAACTACCAATTCGGCCTTTTTTTAGTTGTAGACATTTATATATTTTTTGTTCTTTTAAATTATTTTGTTGTTTAACGCCCTTTTCGAGAATTTTAAACTCATATGGATATTTTTGGATTATAAAAAAAAAATTCAAAACAACCTCTAACACACCTATAGATAAAAATACAATTACTGTCAAATACTGTGTATTTCACTTTGCATACATTGTACTGCGTTTATAATAAAACTTTAGATAACGAATGGATCGTTTGTCAGGCATTTTGAAATCCTTTTAGGACATATATCTACTAAATGAAATTATGATAACTGGACTTTTTACAATTATTTACAAACAATCCCATGAATTTATTTGCTGTCACAGTGATTTGTGATTCGACCCTATATTTTACATGCATGGTGTAGCTAAACACCAGAATCAAGATTCATTAAACCTCTAAAATTATTAAAACTTTAGACCCAAAAGTCATCCTTGTTTATTTTTCACAAAATACTCCCTTTTGTGGTTTTAATCATAGACCTAAATTGGAAAGGTCAATGTTTAAATCAAATTTGAACATATACACTTCTTTGCTTTACCCTGGCCATAATGCATTTATTCCCACGCTTAAACATCTAAAAATTTGTATTTGAAGTTTTGTTTTAACATCAGCAGTAATATCAAACAAATCTTGGCAACCATTTCTCTAGGATCAACGATAAAACAGATATTGAAACAGAAAAATCATTTAAAATTTGCATTTATTTCACAGTTTTAATTGTAGTTTGTTTGAAAATCCTAGTTGGTGTTACTCGCCGTAAAGTCACTGCTCTGATAAGACAAATATTTGTATTGGACGACTGTATTAATTACGAAATCTCTTTCTGGTCATTAGTTTTCCGATAAAAGACAATTCTTCATTTTGAAAATTGTGAAGAACATATTCAATTGCAAACATACAATATACTGAATCAACATAACGATCGACAGGAGAAACCAGGGTATGTAAAGTTCATCGTATTGTCCGTGATTTAGGTATTATTGCGGAATCATCATTGTTCGTGGTGGAACAATGTTCTTGGATTTCGTGGGTCACCCTTATCCACGAACAGTTATAAAATTTTTCATTGAAACGTCTTAATATACGAGTTACCCATGCAATTACGTCCCCACGAACCGACAAAGTGTTGTCTACCCGAGAAACATTGACCATCACGAATTAAGATGATTCCACCTTTGCAAAAGATAAATAAAATATGTACGTTATTAATCCTCTAAAATACTAAGTGTAAGCAATAATTTATTCTTGTTTACTTTCCTGATGTATGCTAGATAGCTCTTTGAACAAAAGCATGGGATGCAAATGTTTACTGTGTTTTAACAATGCAGTTTTGATTGTCATGTTGTCATGCCTCACAGATATAACCTGACACGGTGTACCAGGACTCCCTGTTAGTCCACTTGTAATCCATGTCAGGATGAAGGACAATAAACTCCTCTTTACTGTTTACTGACGTTGGGTCGGCCTGATTACTCCACTGGGTATCAAAGTGACTCACTTTAGATCCATCACCATACAACCATTTTCCTGGGTATTCAAGTCTTTCTCCTTGAATGAGATAAACTCGATCCTTGAAAACTGGCTATAATAAATAATAGTTATAATGGTTAAAAGTTATTTTAAGGTTTATCTTACTTTTATCCACCAACATTCAAAATTAAACTATTGAGAGACACTCAACTCTAGTATTAATAATGCACAACCAAGAGTTGACAATTGAAAGAAAAGTGTCACTGAAAACCTTAATTTATTGCATAGAACTTCTTCAGAAACTTGATTAAAGAATAAATAGTAAAGAATTTGAATTCGCCGATTTCTTTTCTCATAAAATAAATGCATCTATTTTATATTTTAAATAGATGATAATACTTTTGTAGTCATCTCTCTCTCTCTTTCTCTCTCTCCCTTCCTCTGCGTACTTGTAAAATGGTACATTAAACTTAAGCTGCAGATATATGTAGTAAAGAATTTTTGTCTATAACTGCATGTACCTAGATTCTAGTATTTTGTAATTTATTTTATGAACCTTTGTGCCATTTTAATAAACAATAACAATATTATAATAAATCATTTGAATTGGCAGAAATTTAATAGAATTAGAAAGGATTGTCTTACATGTACATTTGTAGTAAACGTGTAAAATTGATTTCTTGACTCGAAATGTGTACATATGTAATTTTTATACATCATTTTTGCTTGCAAGTATATATTTCTTATGAAAATAAAGTTTTAAAATCTTATTCTGTCTCAAACTTAATTATTAGTATTTTATCAGTAGAGGCAGTATTTATTGAATCATGAAATTCATTATCAAAGGCGAAGTCATTTACCTGTATCAATTTCCGGAAGAGGGGGGAGGGGGAGGCTGTTATTAAAATTCCAACTGAAATACATGTACGATCCTTTTCTTACTTTCAAATTATAAGACTATTATTGAAATGTTGTTAAAAAACAAACTAAAAATCGACTTTTTATAAGATACATGTCTCCTACTTGACCCTGTAAATCCATGCATGTTTCAATCAGTGCAAGTATTTAATACTTTTACGTGCTACAGTTATGTTTGTAAGCAGTGGACAATGTTTATGTTTTTGCGCCTGCGCAATGCAACGTTGTCAATGACTTAGTCCTGCGACTAAGCATATCGTTTACGACTAGGCTTACCCCATTTGGTGAAACGCAACTTACGCCCGACTAAATTTTGGCGTAAGCCCGGAAGTACACCTAAGTTAAGGCTTAAAGTTACGACTTTTGATGAAACGGGCCCCAGGGCTTCGCAAGGGGCCTAAAGGCGGACCTCCAGAATGTTTCTGAAAAAAAAATGAACTGTCAACTTGTAGATATTATATGAAAAGAAACTAACAAAAGAAGATTAATGGTGATACAGCAGTTGGGGATTACAACATCTATAATTGAGATACTGTCATATAAATTTTTTTTACTAGCCTAGAGTATAAGCATTATTACTCTTTTGCATTTATCTGGTTCCTTTTATTAACATTGCATAATTCGCTTTTTTCTTATTTTAAACATTATAAACAAAATTATCCAACTTGAACAAATCATTTTTGTTAGACGTAATGCATAAAAAATTTCTTTATTTGTTAAAGTATAGAAATTTTTATTAATTTTAGCAATAATCTTAAAAAAAAGTCTTGTCTATCATGTTTATATAATGGACATTCAATCAGTGAGTGGATCTCATCTTCCACACAGTTCATGTCACACATTTTACAAATGTTTTCATTTCTTGCAAGGGCGGTTTGCTGTCCTACCGTGTTTAAAGTTTTTTTTCATATCTTCCACTTTCAATTCTGAGATTATTTGAACTTATTCTAAATTTGCATATAATTTTTCTTTGTTCAAATTTAAAAAAAATTCAATTTTGCAGTAGATATGTTTTCTCTGAACCCTATTTCTACACAAGTCATGTATTTATATTTAAATATACACATGCATTTATATGAAAAAAAATTTAAAGAATGATAGGACATTGAGGTATGTGTTCTCTGACCCCTATTTCATGGTTAAATAATATATTTCTATTTAAAAAATGATATAGGAATTTGCAGTATGTGATTTATTACCACTATTTCATGCTGTTTATAAATAGTTACGTATCTCGAATAATGGATAATGGATAATATTGTTCCGTTCATTATATCACAAAGGAATTCTTCGGCCCACTCAAGTTACAACGACATGAATAATGTAAATACACATGTACCTTACTAACAAGTTTCATTTTCTGTATAAGAGTTGAGTATAGTGTAAATATATATCAACCTTGTAAAATCCAACTCTGCTATAAGGATAGTTTTAAAGCATGATAACAAAGTCAGTTATATATTTTTTCATCTCGTGTTTATTTTTCCCACAGAATACGCAAAGCAGTACAACTCCTTAACTAACATATGAACTTTCATAGTACTCACATTGCAAACAATGCACAATCTCATTTGCTAGAAAATATAACACCAATTCAATTTGAATAATGTATGTTTCATTCGGGTTAAAACACAATACGATAAAAATTTTCATAGTTATGATTCATAAAATACATACAAATTCAGATATTTGTTACATGTATATTCTTAGTGCCAAGTTAAAAAAATAAAGTTTGAAATTATATGCATGATTCCTGGTATAAACTTGCTATATGCAACCAGGCTTGTAATATTTGTTTATAATGTACGTGTTTATTTGTGTTAATGTTATTTTTTAAAGTAGTCCAATGGGAAATGAATTATTCCAGAAAAGTACAAAATTAGGGGTAATACGATGTAATTAAATTCGAATGCGTTCCACGAAGTTGGTAATACACATTTAAATTCAACATTGAGTAGCATTTTGTGGGAATAAATGACGATTGAAAAAAAAAAATATATATATATATATATATATATATATATATATATATATATATATATATATATATATATATATATATATATATATATATATATATATATATATATATATATATATATATATAAGGTTATTGTTTTTTAGATATCATATAATACGAGACTTGTTTGATACACAAATGAATGAAAAGGTGATTGAATTTGAATGTTTTCTCGATGTATTTATGAAAGAAAATGTTGGGCATAAGAAGAGGAAGTTACTCTGCAGTTCCAACAGTCTCATTAAACCTCGAGTTTAATAAAGCTGTAGAAAAATTTCAAGGCCCAGTATTCTAAAATGCCATTATACAATAGTTATAATATACTAAAATTAGCATACTTTAAACAGTATGGGGCGACTTAAATGCACAGAAGGTCTTTGTCCCATTTCTTAAAAGAATGGAATTTAAACACCAAATATACATTTGAAAGATAAATATTATTCTCTCAAAGAGGTTGAGGTTATCGATAAGCCATATGAATAATCTTAATCTTGATTATCGATTACTGAAATGAAATTCCAAATAAAAAAAAAAATAAAAAAATAAAAAAAAAAAACAACTTAGAAATGCAATGAATGTGAAAAGAGTCCTTTGTTTCCTCTTTTCCTGTCCATTGAATGATAGAATTAACCATTTCATTTCATGCCGTTTGAAAAAGATGGGTTTATGGACAGAATGTCCAATATGCTACAATTTCATGTAACAGACGCAATCTCTCACAAGCGGAGCGCGCCCTCTGGTGAGAGATTGGTAACAGACGAATGAAATTTTTATTTTTAAGTGTGTTCAGATTCCTGTCAAAAAGTCACTTAATAGTTTTAAAGAAGAAAAATATTTGAAAATGCTAAGTTTAAGAAAAAGATTTCCTTCGTTGAAATCCCTAAATAACAGTCATTTTAGTTTATGCATGTATAACTAGAGTAAATATATTATAGGAACCTTTTCGAATATTTAGCTCACACACTCTTTGTTTTTACTCAAATTAAAGATAACAAATAGTAAAAACAAAGAGTGTGTGAGATAAATATTCGAAAAGGTTTCTATAATATATTTACTCCAGTAATAAATGAATAAACTAAAATGATTTATATTTAGGGATTTCTTAGATAATGGAAAGTCTTTTAAGTGAT